GTACTGTGCGAATCAAAGACTACCGCTTTTTACAATTGTTTCCCTTGTTATTGTTGGTAATCATCGTCTTCCGCCACTTATCAGGTTAAGGGAATAACGCTGGGTTGCGATCCCTGTTGTAATCTCAGTTTTTCAATGCTGGCTGTACGAGTCTATTTACTGCATCGCAGAAAGAACAGTTACTTTCCAAACGTAGATCTCTCTTTATGTTGTTCATTCATGTTGCATTGTATCTTGGTAGATGCCTGTCGTGTTTCAGCCCAACGGTGAGAGAACGCTGGCTTAAGTAAATGGCTTATGTTCAACCAGTATGTTTAACAACGTCAGATTCTTTTATTCTATCTGTAATCGATTTAGGTCAGTTATGCCGAAAAAGAATTGAGTTATTCCTTGTATGGCCCATATTTCGTGCCGAAGTTGCAGCTATATGCGTCGTTCAGGCGTTGTTCAAGATCTTTCGTTGGATGATCTCTGTGATGTACAGCAGGGCTAAGTGTTAGTGGGATCATCACCCAATTTTTTCTTCACTGCCTGTTGCTGCCCACCACGACTGTCAGCACCTTCCTTTCTTATGGCCTGTGAATCATTGCTTTCCATTTATGGGATTTACGGTAAAATGAAAATATATCGTAACGGATTATTGGCATTAATAGGGAGGCCCGTCCCCAATGCTTTCGATCCAAGCAAGGCATCTGCAGTTACACTCCAAATATTTAAGTGTTTGTGGCCATATTGACTGAGGTTTCTTTGTAGGCCTGTTGTTGAGGTTTGTATCTCGCTTGATCCAATTTTACCACTCCGCGCGAGCACCTTTTAACGTCGATGAACAGATGTTTCTGTTGACCGGTCTTCCCAGCAGAGCCGCTTGCACATGGCAAATCTTGCAAGAACAGAAACGGCCGTTCCCGTTGTTGATGGTGGACATGGAGTTGGCTCTCGTTCACGCATCGGTGTTATTTATGCAGAACAGCAAATGCGAGAGTATGCTCACTTTACTTGCTAAAATGCCAAGTCAGGTGCACGATTGTATTAGATGTCAAAGTTTAGGACACTTTCGGGCATTATGCCAGGCATTCTGGAATCCGTTGGTGGTGCAAATATGCCTAGGTGAACTGTGTCGATTGGGAGTCGGACTGAAAGTACCAACACCTTCGTCGAAACAGGTAAAACCAGGAAGATGACGATTTACGGCGTTTGTTGGTTCTGAGATGTTCATACTGTGTTTTCAGAATGTCGTCAGATGTGGATCAGTCACCGAGTTAATGCGCTACCTCTTGTGTTTCGATATGAACAACTGTACGCGATTAGAGCTGTTCAATACGGTACTTCATTTTAATTCGCGCCTGAGGTTATTATTTCAATGAGTTGCACCTTAGCTTTTTGCCTGAAGTTATTACACAACCGTTGGTACATCAAGACACTTTGTTTTTGCTCCCGGATGTCCCCTGCATGTACTCAGTCGTTGTTGAAATTCTTTTTTATGAAATTTTATTGCACTGACAAATAAGAGCAGTTGTTTAGCAGTTGCTTCTTTACGTTTCCTTTCTTCCTCGTGACTCCGTCGGGTTCTAGACTAAAAGAGCAATTCAACATATCCCGCTAGATATCTTGACTTGGAGTAGCAGATAGTATTACTGGGGTCGCTCTTTGACCTTCTGTATTCAACATACCTGCGAAAGCGGCCTCTTCCTTATCGTCCAGAAGTCAGCGGTTATGAATCCGTCTCACTCGTCATAACTGACTTACAGTTGGAGCAGGAAGATAAGACGCTTCAGGAAATTGACCACATTAAGTGTCTCGGCTCTCTGGGTCTCCAGCAACGGCGCCATCCAGCTAGAGTCAGATGATCACGCGTTCTGTTCACCAACGTAAAACATCACATCCGTTTGATAACGAAAATAATAGAATACTTCAAAGTCCACAACTGAAAAATACTGGGAGAACGATCCGCAATTCAACGCAAAAGATAAAAGTTCATCAGTTTGTTAGTCAAT